TTAAACAACCAAAGTATAATTAACTAATTCCTAAATGCACCAATTATTCCTAAATGCCTGCAGGATGTATTTTTATATTTTCTAACTATAGCAAGGCGAGCATTTACGGACAGAACAATTATCAAAATGTCACATAAATCCTCAAAATTATACCCGGGAGTAACTTGTTTTATTTCTTTTCCGATTTCTTTTGGAGTAGTTTCCATGAAGCAAAAATCACGTGCTCACAATTATGAGATTCTAAAAATACGTGATCTAATTTTATGCTAGTTGTTAAGCAGTTGATGCTATGTATGTGAGACTTAAAGACGGAATGAGAGTTAAGGAAAGAGTGATAACCAAACTGATGGGTCAATTATCGAGGGCTCGAGCTTGTCATTCGGGGCTTCGAGGTCGATTCTAGAGCTCGGCTGGGAGCTATTGATGGTGATCAAAGTACGGCAAACAGCTATAATAAAATCAATGGAGGCTCTTTATGGCCAATGATAAGCAATAAATGAAGAACAATAACGAAAACAATAAATGGAAGCAGTAATGTCAAGGAATGTGTTAGAGAGCAAATGTTCTGGTATATTTTGTTTAGAGCAATTGGAGCAACAGAGGTATAAAAATGACAAGGACCCCCCTTTATATAGGAAGGGATTCCTACATAGCACAGAACACATTAATTACAAAGATACGACGATGGGACAACTAGATGACAATCTGATTCAGGGCTACGGTAGTTTACTAAGCTTTGTCAGTCCTAGCCGGTGCCTTGGAAACTCCCCATCTCTACTACAGTTGTGGTCGCATTATCCCAAGGTCGGGCGTCGATGAACCTCGAGGGAGGAAGCTCGATCATAGCCCTACAGCCTCGAGGCTTCGAGATGATCTTTTGAGGTTCCTCGACAACGAGGAATTGGACTCTCCAATTTCACCATATACAAAAATCTTTTTCTTACTAGTTTCTTTTTTTCCATTTTTATTTTACTTTTTTCTAGTCTTCTAAAGCTTTTCTTGTTATTTTAGCAAACAATAATCATATATATGGGATATTATTAGCTGACCTCCTCTTTTTTACAAATGTTGTAAATGGAATATTTGAAGTGAACCTTAGAGCAACGGTAAAGTTGTCGAGATCTATAGGTCACAGGATTCGAATCGTGAAGTAGCTATTAATTGTGCACTAGGATAAGTTGTCTACATCACGCACCCTAGTTCCTTCCTCGGATCCTGCGTGAAGCGAGATACTTTGTACATTGGGCTCTCCTTATTTGTAAATGGAATATATGCCTAAATAATTTTACTCTTACGACCATGTATTTATTTCTAATCTTGAGGATAGCAATAGGTAAATATGATATGATGGTATAAATGTTTTTTACATGAAGCGACATATATTACTTGAACTCTTTTAAATATCCAGAATTAGGCTGCTCTTTTTTTAAAAAAAAAAGGAGTTCATAATAGGAATACAATTTGGAATGCATTTTGGTCAGAAAATACTACTCTCTCTCTCTCTAACAAATATTATTAAAGTTGTCTGATTGAATGCCTTAATATTGCCACCAAGTTGGAGTTGTACACTGTTGGTTTCCATCCTAAAATGGGTAGCAGTTCTTACTTACATAATTTAATATCAAATGAGTGGCTATGAGTGATTTTAATTAGTCTTGCTACTACTAGCAAATTTAACAACTTGGTATGCAGCTTTCTTTAAAAAATAAACTTTAGGTTGTTTGGTTGTGTATTTTTAAACGGTGTCAGGGGAAAGAAACTCCCAGTATTTTTTTAATGTGAAACCTTTTGTTTGACGTAAGGTTTGCGCCAACTTTATTGATCACGATGCGGAATGATTAAGTGGCGGAGCCACCTTTGTCGAATGGGCATTTTTTGACTCTCCTTCACCAAAAAATACACTATGCAATCATGCAAAATAAATGCGGAGCCACCTTTGTCGAATGGGCATTTTCTGACTCTCCTTCACCGAAAAATATACTATGCAATTATGCAAAATAAATATGTGATATATACTATACGTTGAATGGTTGTAATTTTCGTGTGCTTGCTTCTTTATATTTTGATTTTTCTTAATAATAATTCTAACTCCGTCACTAACACTATTAACCACTATATCTTACCATGAATGTTGTTTTGTAGTTGTGTTATGTTTTCGAAAAACATTAATTATGTTTGTTGGAAATATTGATCCTATTCTAGATTAGCTAAATTTGTTATATTAGTTATATTTGTATTGGGCCAGGCTCACATAAGTTGTAATTATCTTTTACTTTTTTTTCTTCAGTTTTGCGTAGTTGGGCCGGGTCCCATATAGGTAGACCCAAGAGGTCTGATACAAACAACTTGTACATTTTTAATTTTTATAGATGAAAGAAAGCTTCTCTTCTCTCTCTCGACCACAGTAAACCCTAGCATAATTTGCATCGATTTCATCTCATTTCCGCTATAAACATAGTATCAAACCCCAAAATCTTGTAGATCTGATTGTCCTCTATCGTCCGATGTTACCCTATAAGAGTATCACCGGCATTTTCGTTTGATCGGAGAGTTTTTTCTCCGTCTCATCATTTTTCGTTTTTTGTGAGATTGCTCGAGTTTTGTTGTTTGTTTTTGGGTTGTCTATCTCCGGTTGGTATCTGAGGTCCAAATTTTTGGTTGCAACGATGTATCTCAGCATTCAACCTTGCCTAACTTTGAAGTCGTGGCTCTTCTGGATTTTCGGAGCATAGCTGGGTAAATTCTTTTCATTTCAAGGCCGTATTCTTCCGGTTGCGAAGAATTGTGGTTTATTCCTTCCTTTTGTTTACTGTTATTCATCTTCAATTGCATGTCTTAGGGTTTATCGAAATTTTTAGAAATCTACAATTTGTGTGGTTGAGTCTGCTTATTTCTAAGAGTTTTTGGTTGATGGCTATCTCGTCGGGTACCTCTTCTTCCTCTTATGTGGATAATTCTACTCTTATTGAACGTATTGCTACTATTTGTCTTCCTTTTCATCCTGATGATTATACGCACCCATGCCACCCTCTATATATGCATCCTTCTGACCTCCTAGGTTCTTCCTTGGTCATTGAGCCTTTTGATGGCTCTTGTTATGGGAGTTGGCGAAGGTCTATTTTAGTGGCTTTATCCGTTAGGAACAAGCTGGAACTCATTCATGGAACCTCTGAGAGACCTCCAGAAGGATCTCCTCTTCTTCACCAATGACAGAGATATAATGATTTGGTTGTTGCGTGGCTGGCTAACTCTGTGACCAAGGAAATTTATCGTACTATTGTCTATTCTGAGTTTGCAAAGGACATTTGGAAGGAACTTGAGACCAGATATGGGAAAGCTGATGGGGCCAAGGTCTTTGAGTTAAAAAAGGAGGTGGCTCATATTTCTCAGGCTGCCCTTGATATTCCTTCCTACTTCAACAAACTCAAATAGCTTTGGGATGAATTGGCCTCTCTATCTGCCAGTTCTGATAGTAAGTACACCTGTGGAGGCAGTCTTAGGTCTGAGGAAAAACAAAATGTCTATCAGTTCCTCATGGGGCTCAGTGATACTTATGTTCAAGTCAGAAGTAACATATTGATGATCAAGCCCCTACCTTCCATTGACACAGTCAACAGTATTCTTCTAAGTGATGAGAAACAGAGGCAGGTGTCTACTGGCTCTCATTTTTCCTTAGAATCAGCTTCTTTCAATGTTGGGTCTTCTAAGCAGCCTTACACTCCCAGGGTGAGTTTTGACAATCAAAGGGCTGCAATCACTTGCAAATACTGTAAGAAGCCTGGGCATAGCATTGATAAGTGCTACAAGCTCCATGGCTATCCGCCAAATTTCAAATTCTCTAAGACTGCTGGTCCCAGGAAAGCTTCAGCACATAGTGCAGTTGATTCATCTGCATCCCAGGAATGTGTATCTCATTCCAATGGTGGTGTTGTCCCAGCTGGTTTCTCTAATTCTTCTTCTACTTTTCCTGGCCTGACAAAGGACCAATGTTCTCAGCTAATCTAGCTCTTGCAACAAACTCATGTAACTCCTTATTCTTCTCAGTCACTCATGGTTTCTGCACATTTTGCTGGTAGGATAGCTACCCATAGTGTTCTTCTTAAGCTTGCTTTGATTTTACAAGTTAGTATTTCTGATTGGATCATTGATTCTGGGGAATCTAATCATATGACCTCTCTCAAATCTCTCCTCTTCAATATTCAACCTCTTATTATTCCTTGTCTTGTTTCTCACTCAAATGGTTACAAAGTTAAAGTTACCAACTCTGGATCCTTAACTTTGTTTCCTAATTTCACTCTTCACAATGTCCTTTATGTTCCTAGCTTTCACTATAATTTAATTTCAGTTCATAAGTCGGTTGATCAGTTTAATGGCATTGCACAGTTTACTAAGGTTTTATGTGTATTACGGGGCCTTTCTCTGAAGAAGCCTCTGGCTCTTGATAAACTGGACAATGGTCTCTACAAGCTGCAAGCACCTATGTTTAGGCATGATAACTGTGTTTCAAATTCTATTTTTTCTTCTACATGTACTGTTTCTGGTAGTTCTGTTGTTTCCTCTTGTAATTTTGCACTTGTTGTTTCTAATAAAATTGATATTGTTTGGCATTTTAGACTTGGTCACATACCATTTTCTATAATGAAGGGAATTCCTATTCTTAGTCCTTGTCTCTCCTCTAAACAATCATTTCCTTGTCCTGTCTGTCCTTTGGCTAGGAAAACCAGACTCTCTTTCCCTGATAACACCATTCACTCTACTGCTCCTTTTCAATTGATTCACATTGACACTTGGATCATTTACCACTCGTCTACTTCCCATCTTGCCAAGTATTTCCTTACTATTGTGGATGATTATCCTAGAGCCACTTGGACCCATTTGATGGGTGCTAAGAACAATGCTTTTGATCTTCTCAAAGCTTTTATTGTTATGGTTGAAACTCATTTCAATACTCATGTTCAAACAGTTAGAAGTGACAATGCTTTTGAACTGGGATCTAGTACTATTGTAACGACCTGACCGGTCGTTTTGAGCATTTGCACTTTGCTCGCCAGTTCTCGGGCATGACTAGCCCCGTATGATATATTATGACTTATGTAAATTGTCGATTTTGGTTTTCAGGATAATCGAAATAGATTTGGAAGAACAATTCTCAGCTTGAAGCTTTAAATTTGAAAGGTTTGACTTTTTAGTATTCGATTTTGGTTTTGGATTTTTATGATTTGGTTAGTTCTTTTAGGTGATTTTGGACTTGGGAGCGCATCCGGAATGTATTTTGGAGGTCCCTGGAAGATTTAAGCTTGAATTGGCAAAATTGAAAATTTGGCGTTTTCCGGTCGGCAATGGAAATCCTATATAGGGGTCGTAATGGAATTCCGGAAATTGGAGTAGGTACGTAGTATTATTTGTGATGTGTGTACAAAATTTCAGGTCATTCGAAGTTGATTTGATAGGTTTCGGCATCGTTTGTAGAATTTGAAAGTTCTAAGTTCTTAGGCTTGAATCCGAGGTTGATTTGGTGTTTTGATATTGTTTGGAATGACTCTAAGGTTTGACTAACTTTGAATGATGTTATGGGATATGTTGGCATCTTTGGTTGAGGTCTTGAGGGCCTCGGGTGTGTTTCGGATGCTCAACAGATCATTTTGGACCTTGGAAAGTTGGTAGAATTGCTGGTGTTTTTGTTGCAGAGAATCCTTGTTCGCGTTCGGGAGAGGGATATCGCATTCGCAAAGGGTTGTTGTGAGATGCAGTGAGTTTGTTCTTTGTGTTCGCGATGTTGGTCCCGCGTTAGCGAAGGTTCATGAGTTAAAGTTACGCGTTCGCGAGGAGCGTTTCGCGTTCGCGTAGGGTCGGTTGGTTTGTCTGTGCGTTCGGGGGTGGGCCCTCGTGTTTGCAAAGAAGCGAATATTGTTTTGAGGCAAATTGTGCTTCGCGAATGCGAGGGAGCTACCGCATTCACGAAGAAGGAAATAATACCTGGGCAAAATGTTTAAAAAGAGGTCTCCACGATTTTTAGCCCATTTCTCACCATTGTTGAGTGGTTTTGAAGCTTTTTGAGAGGGATTGAAGAGGGATTCGAAGGGAAATACTTGGAGGTAAACTTTTTGAACTCAATACTCGATTCTATAATGATTTCTAACTAATTAGACATGAAATTAGTGGGATTTAAAGCCTAAAATTGGGGAATTAAGGCTTGGAATTAGAGAGTATAAATTGGGGATTTGAGGGGCCATTTGAGGTCCAATTTTGATGTTCTGGGTATGTATGTACTCGTAAGAGGATAAGGATTCTATTGATGTGATTTTTATCAGATTTTGAGACGTGGTCCCGGGGGTCGGGTTTGACCAATTTCGGGATTTTTGATGTAATTTGATTATTTTCGTGTGGGCTTTGTTCCCTTAGCATATATTGATGTTATGGTTCTGATTTTGGTTAGAGACGGAGCATTTGGAGGCCGAATCGAGAAGCAAGGGTGTTGCGGGCTACAATTTGTCTTGGCTTGAGGAAAGTGACGCTTCCAAACTTAGTTCTAAGGGTTTGAAACCCCGCACTATGTGTTCTATGATTACTATTGAGGTGACGCAAATGCCAAGTGATGGGCGTGTGGCCGTGCATCATGAGAATCGCAACCTGGATCATTCCATGGCACCGCCTAGTGACTGTTTCTTATTGATATCTGTGTTGGAACTATGTGATTAAGTTAATGAGCAATAAATCATGCTAATAATCATGTTAAGGCTTCACACCAATACTGTTGAGACCCGTGAGGTCGTTTCTTGCTGTCATATCATTAGCTTCATTGGTATTCTGTACTCAGTCCTGTTCATGCATATTATATCATGCCTCAGTCTCGATTATTGTTATTTGACACATCATATCATTGTTTGGGCTAGTATCATGACATTTTGAGCCCGTGTGTGTGAGACTGGAGAGTAATGACTGAGTGAGGTGACCGAGAGCCTGATATTGATCGATAGTATGGGATCGGGCTGTACGCCACAGCGAGATATTAATCATGCCTTCGCTGGCTTGATATAGTGCTTGGTCTTAGAGGAGCCCCTCTGGAGTCTTTACACCCCTAGTGAGCGCAGTTGGTATTATTGAGGGATGGATCTTCCCTGGACATGAATCTTGTTCGATGTATTTATACTTGGAGATAGATCTTCTCCATAGGCAGGAATAGCCTTCCTCGGTACTGGATGACTGTTGTCAGTGATGTGTATATATTCCGGTATGGATCTTCCCTAGGCCTTGTGAGCCATATACAGTATCGAATGGTTGTGAGGTTGTTATTTATATTATTATCTGGAGATGGATCTTCTCTATATGCTGGAATGGCCTTCCTCAGTACTAAGTGATTGCTGTTAGAGATATATATATTCCGGGATGGATCTTTCCTACGCCGTATGAATCATATACAGTACTGAGTGGACGAGCATTTGTTATTGTGGGCACATGAGGCACTCAGCATGGGGCATTTCATACAGTATGTGCATTGACATGTAGATGTAGTAGAGTTACACTTCTTTACCTTGTTCATACTTGCTCTGTTTTACTGTTCGAACTATTTATTTAACTGAAATCATGCCTACGTTTCTGTACATTATTTCTGTTATCCTTGAGGAGGTTGTGTTCGTCACTACCTATCAGTCCAAAGGTTGGACTTGTTACTTACTGAGTTGGTGTACTCACATTACGCCCTGCACCTCGTGTGCAGATTCAGGCACTTTGGATCCAGTAGCGGATGTTTGATCGAGGCTTCAGACTTAGAATATTATTGAGGTACCTGCATGGCGTTCGCAGGCCTTGGATCTCCACCTTACTTTCCAGTTGTATTTTAATTGTTCCCTTAGACATTTATGAGAGTATGTACTTTTCCTTAGACGCTCATGCACTCAATGACATCCCGGTGTTGGGCTGGATTGTATTTATTCTTGGAATTTCTTATATTTCAAATTGTTCTTTAACTGTTAAAAGCTTCCGTAAATGTTTTCAAACTTATTATTATCGTTTTGATTGTTGAGTTGAGGCTGGCCTAGTTTCACTATAGGTGTCATCACGATGGGTCGGGTTTTGGGTCGTGACAAGTTGGTGTCAGAGCCTAGGGTACATAGGTCTCACGAGTCATGAGCGGGTTTAGTAGAGTCTCGCATATCGATACAAAAACGTGTGTACTTATCTCCAAGAGGCAATAGAACCTTTAGGAAATAAACTTCACATTTTTGATTTCCTATCGTGCGACATTGATTCAGCTTGAAGCTTAACTCCTTGAATTCCTCCCACGCATTCGTGTGGTGCATGAGAACTCGGTATCAGCTGTTCATCGACGACTCGTGATTCCCTAATCAAAGGGCAAGATATGATTTATGTGCGTTGATATTGGGCCAGTCTGGAGGACTTGAAGCCGGGTTTTTGCCTATAGCTTGAGCGCTGAGGCGTTGATTGTGTGGGCACATGCTTCTGGATTTATATATTCGGTGGTGTCCCTATTAGTAGAAGTGATGACAGGATGTCTATGTGGTGAGCATGATATGACTACGAGATGTGTTCATATGATTTGAATATGAAGAGACGGGTCTGCTTGAGGATAATAAGATCTATTGGGTGCTTGATTTCCATCGTAATTTGATGTATAGCCCAAGTCAGGGGGTACTGAAGAATCTTTTCATTTTGTTAGTTAGGGAGTGAGGTGGATTTTATGTCCCGATTTAAGTTCAGACTCAAGAAGATTTGGTGATTGCGTGATGTTTATGGCGGTGGAAGGGTATAAAGAGAAGTTCATTTGAGGCGGAGCAGGTGGGTTATCTCCTACGGAGTGTTCTGAAGTGGTGTGATCCCTATGTTGTTTGTTGAAAGTCCTCTTCTACTAGTGAATTATATGAGCTGTAGTTTGAGTTTGGATCGCGTATGAGAGTTGCCTTGATTGTTACGAGGATGAATGCGAGATTTGCAGATGACTAGATGGTTTGTGTTGCATGAGTTTATGAAGGAGTTAGTTTAACCTC